CATGAAGTATCTGAACGAACGAGCCGAGGCATGGGCAGCGAGATGGATCCCCAGTGTGTTCTTCGACCGCGACATGGACAACTTCAAAGACTGGATGGACTGGTGCGTCCCCTACGTCACTGCTGCTCTACACCGCCCCCAGTTCAATGCGCACTTCAGCCCCGACGACCAGCATGGATCTGCCAGTGCTCGCCGTGACATGGCGACGGAGATCTGCTACGGTGCGTGGCAACGAACTGTCCGCCATCGTAACCCCCGCCTGGAGATCTACAACAACGAGCGCATGCCGACCACCACTCATCGAGAATTTGCCGACGAAGCCGCTGAACACCGTGCCCGTCGGCGCTGGATTGACCGCGAGCGAGCCACCAACCCGAACTTCCCGCAGGATGACAACGACACCGCATCTACAAGTGCGACCACCACCATGCCTCCCACCCACGCCACAAGTGACATCATGATAGACTCCGACACCTCCGATCGTGATGGTCTCCTTGGCCGCGCTGCTCTCCCTGATAATGTTGAACGCGCCTGGCGCAATCTACGGTCCCACCTGGCGAACGCCACTGCCTCGCTCTTCTGACCTGCGGTCAAGACATTGTCAGGCGCATGGACGACCTCGCATCGCATGCACGTCAACCCTCACAAGAAGTCCTGCTTGTTTGGCTGCGACAAGGACGTGCAGGCCAAGAACGTGGATGACATCAGCCACTACATCTCGTGCCCTCGGTTGTGGGCGCTCTTGGCACTACCCTGTGGACAGCCCGCTGGCGACGCACTCACGCGCCTCGGCCTCCACCAGAGCGACACCATCGACGACCATCCCAAGCACGCCATCACCCGCATGGCCGTGGCTTACCGCAGCTACAACATCATGCGGGTGCGCCACATGAACGGCATGCACGACAACCGCAACGAGTACAACTACCACAAGGAGGTTGTTGCCGCCGCCCGCCGCGCTCTGAGGCTCCCTCGGTGCCTCGTGGGCGGCGCGGGGCCGCAGCGCCGCTGAACACGGACGCGCGCTCTCCCAAGCGTGTCGTTCGCTCCTCCTCCTCCTCCTCCTCCTCCTCCTCCTCCTCCTCCTCCTCGTCGTCGCGCCTGTTGGACGGAGCGTATAGAACGCACATATTAGTAGTAGTGCTGCCATCGCGAGTCGTTCCTTCGCCACGCAGTTGCCGCAGGCTCTATTGCAGAGTGCACGCTTGGCCAGCCTGCTTGAGAGAGGGGTGATTTCACAAAATGTGATTCGTGGTGCGCCCAGCACCGAGGTGGCTCCAGGATACGATTCAACGGAGTTGCCGTCCATACCAGTCATGATGTTGCCGCGGCAGACGCATTCATATAGAGGGAGAGGTCGGGGCGGGACTCGGGGGAGGGGGTCGGGTCGGGGAAGGATATGTGGACCTGGCGCCCGAGAGCTGGGACCCCGATCTGGGGCTGCGTGCCCTGGGGGGTCCCCCAGCCAGGGGGCCAGTGCTGCCCTGAGCAGAGTGTGGCTGTCTCTTCACTGCATATCTACTGTCATACAGTCGGCGGTGTAGCCGCCTACCCAGAGTTCTGGTTTCACAGGCTGTGTTGACCTGAGAGGACTCCGTTGGATCTTGTCTTGTCTTGTTGTTGCCGTCGTCTCCTCCTCCTCCTCCTCCTCCTCCTCCTCTTCGTCCTCCTCCTCCTCCTCCTCCTCCTCCTTCTCCTCCTCCTCCTCCTCCTCCTCCTCCATCTCGCGCTGCTGGTGGTGCTGCTCCTGCGCGGGCGCGGTGTATCCGCAGCTGCTGCTCCTCCTGCTCCTCCCTCTCTCGTCGTCCTTTTCCTTTCTGCTACGGTAGGGTTCGCGTCTCGTCGACGTAGCGGCGGCGCCAGCGGGGGTGTTCAAGATCGAACGCCGCCCTGGGCACTGAATGGGCCGATGTCGAAGGATCCACGCTTCCGGGAGTCCACGATCGTTCCAGGTTGAACGATCCACGCGGTGTCAAAAATCAGCGCCCGCATCATCACGATGTGAAGCTGTCGTATCTTCCTCGTCTATTCTCCCCCCCTTCCCCCCCGTCCGTTGCCATTTGAGGATCACTCTGCACAAATGCTACGATGCAGCCACGCCTGCACCATCACAAAGGAGCGGGCGCCGGTCGGACGCAGGCCTGGTCTCGCTCCGGTGGCGTGCCCAGGGGGGAAGGAGGCAGAGGGGGCGGGCCTCGGCGAGGCAGGGAAGGAGGCAGAGGCAGAGGGGGGAAGGAGGCACACCTCGGCGAGGCACAGCCGCTGGAACGCATCCCGAGGCTGGAAATCCGCCGCTAATTTTCGAGAACGCCCAAAAACCAAGGGAGTTTTCGAAAAGCCACCTGGACCCGACAATTGGCGTTTACTCAACGGCCCTGGGCGTTTACTAAACAGCCCTGCCCTGTTTGATTCCTTCCTTGGGTGCGTTTACTAAACGGCTTGGCGTGCCCAGGTGATTATTACGAGGGTGGATCCCCTGCTCTCCAAAAAAGCCCCGAAGCCGAGCGCAGCCTCGAGCCCGACACGTCCGAGACTTCGGCCCTCGGCGCGTCGCCGACGGCGGCCACGGGCGGCCTCCGAGGCCGGGGTCTGGCAGCACGCGCGTGCACGCGCGTGCCGCCCGCCGCGCACCGCTGCGGACCGCGTCTGTGCGAGTGGCGAGCTCTCGCGCTCGAGAGCGTCCACGCTCACGCCGACGGGAGCCACTGGCCGCTCCTTCGAGAAGAGTCGGGAAACTTTAAGACTAAGCTAACTCGGGTTTGCCGACGTTCTTTGACGAGCGTGACTTGGGTTTCGACGGGCCAGTTTTCGTGGGATGTCTGCAGCGGGAGCTCGCGTCAAATTTCAGACCGGGTCTCGTCATTTTCGTGATGGCCCCGTCAGGCCAACCCGATTCCCCCGTACCCGAGTCTTACGTCTCCCCGAAAGAGAGGTTCGCAGGAGCGGCGGCGCCAGGCGCGATCGAGAGCTCGGACCGGGCGCAGGGAGCAGCAGCGGGGCGGCCCCTGCGCTGGCGTGCCGCGTGCTCGCGCAGGAAGGCGTGGCGCAGCGAGGGCCTCCTTGCGGGACAGCGCGCGGGCCGCCTCGCTGCCGCCCGAGTCCCAAAAGGCTCCCGCAGGTTCTGGTCCCGTCGTCCCCCGCCGCTCCGATCCCCCTCTTTGTTTGTCCGTCTGCCCTCGCGCGCGCGATCGATGCCGGAGAGGTCCCGCTGCTTGATCTAGGTCGCACGATGGCCCGTTCCCCCGGCGGTCACACGCCCTTCACACCCGTGGCAGCGCTCAGCCGCCAGGGCGAGAGGGGCCCAGCGGCGAGCGGCCTTGCTCTGCCCCTGGGTGCGTGGCCGAGGGGCGGCTCCGCGGCCCGCCCCGCGACGCGCCCGCGGCCCGCCTGGCGACCCGTCCACACCGTTTTGAAGAGAGCCGCCGCCAAGGGCGGGCCGCTGTGCGCTGGCCATGGGCCTCGGGGAGCACCACTGTTTGCTGCCGCGCGCGCGACCCTCCACCGACTCACGGGCGACTCACCCATAACGCTTCGGAAAAAGCCACCGCCCACGTCGTGCCATTTTTCGCTGGCCTGGGCGAGCACTGCACCATTTTTCGCATTGTTTGTTGCCACGCGCGCGATCCTCCAACGACCCACCTGTGACCCACCCACTTTGTTTTGAAAGAGTCGGCGCCTGCGGCAGGCTGTTTTGCATCGGCACTGGAGAACGCCACTGTTCGGGTACAGTGTATTTGCTGGTCGCGCTGCCCCTGCATGGCAGCCTGGGCGCCCCCTGTCATAGTGTTATCCGCAACTGCGGGGCACATGTGCGTAAGCGCAACATCAAAGAACACACAAGCCAGCGGAGGGGGCGGAGGCAGGACGAGTTGGAGGACCAGTATTTGTTTTGTGCTCCGTTCTTGGCTGGATATTGGAAAACTACATGTTGGCTCCGCGAACTTGGAGGTTTGCCAATGACAGCTCCATATCATTCAAGGGCTGCCCTCTGATAGCTCCGAGGTTCTTCGCCCACCTCGGCATTTGGAGGCCCTTTTATGGCAGTGGGCCGTTGGACATCCGGGGTGAAAAAGGCAACGGTGGAGGCCCAGGAGGAGGAGGAGGAGGACGACGACGATGACGAAACAGTGGGGCTTCCTCCTTCTCCTCCTCTTCCGAATCCTCTTCCTCTCCCTTCTCCTGCACTCTTTTCCTCCGTCCTTCTCATCCGTCTCCCTCTCTTTTTCCCCCCCCCTCCTCCCCCCCCTCCTCTCCCTCGGCAGAACTCACTATAGTCCACCAGCAGGTCCGAGGAGTCCTGCGCACAGCCCGCTTATGAGCAGCGAGCTGTGGCAATGCCCGCCAGCGAAGCATACGTCACATTGCTTCCACGGGATGAATTTCGAGCTGGCCATTGGAGAGGGGGGGCTTAGAACAGGGGGGGACAGTCGAATGCTCCCAGTTGCATGCATGTTTGCTTCGTGTGGGGCCCAGGTCCCACTTGCGTCCTACGGCTGAAGCTTGACTGCGACCGGCTTGCTCGAATCGAACATCCTCTTTCTCCCCCGCCTCCCCCGCACTCCGACGTCATCTTTCAAAATCGGGACCGAATCTTCGTCCCGGGCCGTTTTTTGACAGTCCCGGGGCCCAGCTAGGGCCCCCGGAACCCGAACATGTCCAAAAACCAATTGCCGTGATTTTTGTTTTCGCAGCTGGGGGTCCTCCTCCTCCTTCCCGTCCCCTCCACTCCGCCCATCCCATCTTCGCTCTCCGCCGGCTGGGCCCTGGGCACGGGGCAGCATTAGCGTGGATAAGCTTAGAGTGGGGCGCATCGACCCCCGACCGCCCACTGATCGCCGATAGGGGCCCGATAGCCCACCCCGCCCAGGACCCTGCGGATTTGCCATCGAGGACCTATCACCCATCATTGGGCGATGTATCGCCGAATCCAGGTCGATGTTTCCCCCCCCCTGAGCTGGTCCCCCCCGTGCCGTTGCCCCGCCGACTGTGGCACGGGGCAGGGGCGGTCCCCGCGCGACTCCGCGACGGCGGCGAGCACCTGCCGGCCCGCGCAGCTCCCCGAGGCTGGCCCGCCTGCCTCCGCAGGGAGGTTCAGAAACGGGGCCTCGAGGGACAGGGCCGTGCTGTCCCTCGGGAGCGAGGAGGAGAGAAGTGCCAGGATCCAGGAGCCAGGAGGAGGAGGAGGAGGAGGAGGAGGAGGAGGAGGACGACGAAGAGGAGGAGGAGGAGGAGGAGGAGGAGGAGGACACAGAGGAGGAGGAGGAGGGAGGAGGAGGAGGAGGAGGAGGAAGAGGCGGAAGAGGAGGAGGAGGAGGAGGAGGAAAGGAGGAGGTGGAGGAGGAGGAGGAGGAGGAGGAAGGAGGAGCAGGAGGAGGAGGAGGAGCGAGGAGCGAAGGAGCGAGGAGCGAGGAGCGAGGAGCGAGGAGCAGGAGGAGGAGGAGGAGGAGGAGGAGGAGGAGGAGGAGGAGGAGGAGAGCAGGAGGAGAGGAGGAGCAAGGAGGAGGGAGGAGGAGCAGGAGGAGGAGAGGAGGAGGAGGAAGGCAGCAAGGAAAGGACAAGGAACAGGAAAGGAAAAGGAAAAGGAAAGGAAGAGAGAGGAGGAGGAAAAGGAGGGAGGAAGGAAGGGGAGGAGGAGGAGGAGGAGGAGGAGGAAGAGGAGGAGGAAGGAGGAGGAGAGGAGGAGGAGGAGGAGGAGGAGGAGGAGGAGGAGGAGGAGGAGGAGAGGAGGAGGAGGAGGAGGAGGAAGAGGGAGGAGGAGGAGGAGGAGGAGGAGGAGGAGGAAGAGGAAGAGGAAGGAAGAGGAGGAGGAGGAGAAGGATGAGGAGGAGAACCGTATGTTTCCTCGGGGGCGGGCCAGGGCTGGGGCCGGGGGGGCCACAGCGAGGGCCTGGGGCCGAGACCGGGACCGGGGCCAGGGCCGGGGCAGGGGCCCGGCCTCCGCAGGGAGGTTCAGAAACGGGGCCTCGAGGGACAGGGCCGTGCTGTCCCTCGGGAGCGAGGAGGAGAGAAGTGCCAGGATCCAGGAGCCAGGAGGAGGAGGAGGAGGAGGAGGAGGAGGAGGAGGAGGAGGAGGAGGAGGAGGGAGGACGAAGAGGAGGAGGAGGAGGACGAAGAGGAGGAGGAGGAGGAGGGAGGACAGAGGAGGAGGAGGAGGAGGAGGAGGAGGAGGAGAGAGGAGGAGGAGGAGGAGGAGGAGGAGGAGGAGGAGGAGGAGGAGGCGGAGCGAGGAGCGAGGAGCGAGGAGCGAGGAGCGAGGAGCAGGAGCGAGCGAGGAGCGAGGAGCGAGGAGGAGCGAGGAGCGAGGAGCGAGGAGCGAGGAGCGAGGAGCGAGGAGCGAGGAGGAGGAGGAGGAGGAGGAGGAGGAGGAGGAGAGGAGGAGGAGAAGAGCGAGGAGGAGGAGAGGAGGAGAGGAGAGAGGAGGAGCAAGGAGGAGGAAGAGGAGGAGGAGCAGGAGGAGGGGAGGAGGAAAAGAAAAGGAAAGGACAAGGAAAAGGAAAAGGAAAAGGAAGGAAAGAAGAGGAGGAGGAGGAGGAAAGGAGGAGGAAAAGGAGGAGGAAAGGAGGAGGAGGAGGAGAAGAGGAGGAGGGGGGAGGAGGAGGAGGAGGGAGGAGGAGGGAGGAGGAGGAGGAGGAGGAGGAGGAGGAAGAGGAGGAGGAGGAGAAGGATGAGGAGGAGAACCGTATGTTTCCTCGGGGGCGGGCCAGGGCTGGGGCCGGGGGGGCCACAGCGAGGGCCTGGGGCCGAGACCGGGACCAGGGCCAGGGCCGGGGCAGGGGCCCGGCCTGTGGCGCTTGGGCTGGGGCCGGGGGCGGAGGCGGGTGCCCAGGGGGAGGGGTCCTGAGCTCCCACCCCCTCCGCCCAGGGTGTGGGCAACGACCCCCAGGACTCCCCCGGGGACGGGACCCCTTTTCTGGGAACCCCCCCTTTTAGGATCCCCCCAGGACCACCCCCTGGGTCCCCCCCGGGCCCCCTTGTTTGTCCGATCTCCCTTGCGACGACGACGTATCAAAGGAGGCTGGCGTACTTCAGTTTGGGTTGGGCTGGCCTCGCGCCGAAGAGCCTCTCACACACGCCGACTGGGTCGACGGATTTTGCCTCGGAATGCTTTCCAGCAGCTGCGCCCCCCGAGGGGGTTCTGGGCGTGCTCGTATCGTCCAGAGCGGCCGCCCGAGGCCTGAGATCTGACCCGGAGACCAGGCCTTCGTGTGTCGCGGGAAGCTCACGGCGGGAAGGTTTTTGGCAGTTCTCGACCTCCAGGAGGGCCCTGGCCAGGCCCCTGGGCAGTAAAAAAGCTAATCTGGGTGAGATGCCGGTCTCCTGGTGTGCTCGCTCCACGCTGTCGCGAGAGTCTGTCGCCTTAGACTCCTGCCAATCTGAAGCGTTTCACGCTTACCATGTGCCATCGGCGAACTCAGTATGAATTTCCATGTGGCCACCAGGCAGAAATTGGTAGCCGATGCCTGTCGGCCTTCGATGTTCGCACGGTGTTGTCGCAGACCTGTTTACAATCTGTCCATGCGACAGAGGATCGCTGTTCATGGTCTGGATATTTATTTCGATGCATGCGGAAAAATGGCGGCCCCCCTGTGATGGGTCCAGACCTCCAGGGGCCCACGCTGCGAGCAAACCACTGCGTCGGAGTCCTGGAGCCCTCGATAGCATCCCCCCAGGCACGGGCTGAGAGTTAGGGGTCTCCGCATGCAAAAGGTTTCTCCCCTTAGCCCGATCCTTCAGTAACTTCGCAGGACGGTCCAATGGCGGCTCGCCCGCTCGTAGATCGGGAAGCCGGGTGAGTTGATCTTTGGCCACTCTGGACTTCGACCTTCGAGGTTGGAACTTCGAGCACGGAGGTCTTTACTCGTTCGTTCACTCTTTTGGGGGGCCTTCGGGTGGGTCCTCGTCTTCCTGCTGGATCCGCTTCGCATTTCAGAGCTCGCCACTGGAGTGAGCTGGAGGTTGATTTCTCTCTTCTCCTCCTCCTCCTCCTCCTCCTCCTCCTCCTCCTCCTCCTCCTCCTCGTTCTCGTTCACCCTCCTCTTCCTCCTCCCTTCTCCGTCATGTTTTCTCCCTCCGCTCCTCTCCCTCCTGACTTCGATTGCTCCCTCTTCCCTCTTTCCCATCCAGGCTCCTCCTCCGTTCTCTGTTATTCCGACCTCGTCCTCCTTATTCCGCGAGTCCGTTTGCATGCGCGGGTAATTGAGATCACGAGGTAGTCGAGCATCAGGTTTGACATTATTGCCGCTGAAAACAGAAGTTTCAATACTCCTGACTTCCCCCTCATTGTAGATATCATATCGAGCTAAATCCCTTGAGCATTCCTTCCTCCTCCTCGTCCTTCCTCTTTCGTCCTTCCTCCGGTTTATTCCGCTCCATTTCATGTGAATTCGCGGCATCTCCTTCGATTCCTAAGCCCCTCCTCCCAGTCCACGCCTTCTCACCCTCATCCGCCCCTCTCCAGTCTTCGACTCCATTCTTCCGCCACGCCCCATTGCGAAGGCCTTACAGCCATTGCCGCCGACTTGTTCGCTAGGATGAGGAGGAGGAGGAAAAAAAAGAAGGGGAGGAGGAGGAGGACGAGGACGAGGAGGAGCAGGAGGAGGACGAGGAGGAGGAGAAGGAGGGGCCATTCCGCCTTATTCTGCTCCACTTCTCGCAAGTGCGCGCCAATTCACGCGTCCACATCACTCGTCACCTCCCCTTCGCTTGGCAGCAGGGGCTCCGCGGTGGCAGCCACCGCGCGAGCGCACAGGGGAAACCCCAGGCGGCTGCCTCAGGACTCCTGTCTGCCTCTGGCGGCCCTCCTTCCTTCTCGTGCTGCTCCGTTCTCGTGGCTGATTCTCTGTGTTTTGTCTCGCTTATCTCTCCTCTGTGTGTGTGTGTTGTTGATGCTTGTTTTTCACTCTCGCACACTCCTCTGGACAGGCGTGATGTTTCTTATTCATATTCGTATTCCTCTTCTTCTTCTTCTGCGCATTCTTATTCGTGGACTAATAAGAATCAGTATTAGAAGTGGTATCATTACTATTATTAGTATTATTATTAGTATTACTATTATTATTATTCTTATTATTCTACTTCTACCGCTGCTCGAAGTCCCCTCGCCCCCCGTCGCCCTGCGCGCTTTCCGCTGCCAGGCTCTCCCTGAGGTCGCTGAGTAGCTGCACGTGCTTCCAGGGGCGTGGCGGAGTTGCTGCCCAGCAGGGCGGGCGGAGCAGGGGAGTCGGAGAGTGGACGGCGAGGGGGCGAGGCGGTGAGGCCCAGGCCTCCGACGATCCGCGTTTGCCGTTCTCCCGGCGTTGTCCCTATTACGGCCTTCGGGGCCCGTTGTCGGGCCGCGGGGCCATCGAGAACGGATCCGGGAGGAAGAGCCAGCTCCAGGGAGGGAGCCGGGTCTTCTGGGGCCGCGCACCGGGAAAGTGTGCTGTCGGAGCGTAGGAGTGAGGACGCGGCGAGCGGGTCTGCGGACGGGAACGGGTGCGTGCGATGAGGGCGCGCGAGCGGTGTTGGCGGCCAGCGACAAAAGTGTTGACCATCCCGCTGTGTTACTCACTCGGCGTAGCCATGGGTAAATCCTTCGTGGTGATCGGTTCAAGTCAGGCCATCAAGTTGTCGTCACACGGTGTGTCGTCTCCCGTCGGGTCTTATGACGTAGTACGTGGAGTTTGCGGGAGCAGCCCGTGATTGGATGTTCGCGAAGTGGTCTACATTCAACCGAGCTGAATCGCCAGAGTCGTTCGATGGCAATTTTATCCGCAAGGGTGGAGATAGTTGGCTTGAAGTTTAGGCGGGGTGTGGATATGCAGGCTGCAGTTTTATGAGGATTGGCTCATGCAGTTGAGGGGGAGGGGGAGGGGAGGAGGAGGAGGAGGAGGAGGAGGAGGAGGAGGAGGAGGAGGAGGAGGAGGAGGAGGAGGAGGAGGAGGAAGCCGCTGCCTCTCGCGGGGGGGCCCTTCCGCCCCGCCCCTTCCGATAGGCCTAAGCGGAGGATGGCCATGTGCAGCGCCTGCGGGCTTTGCGCAATGGTTACGCGGCGAGGCGCCCGTGACATCCCCCCTGATTTCGCGGACAAGCGCGCCGAGTTCATGGCCACGGAGACCCTCACCAGCGGCATGCGGAGGCTAGATCGCGCCGCCAAGCGGCGCCTGGCATACGCAGCGAGACAACTGCACATCAGGGCCAACGGCTTCGCAATCGTTGCCGATATCGTCAACGCCTCCGCCACCAGCACCGACGCCAGCTGCAAGGAGTACCGCAGCACCAACGCCAGCACCCAAGTCGACGCCACCACCAGCGCCGACATCGGCACCAGCAGCAACATCCAGTACATCGTGACAGAGGCCAGCCCCGGGCCCTTCCCGACCCCAGCCTGGCCTCCCTTCCTCTCCGCGGCTACCCGACGCGTGCGGAGTTCGAGGACATGGGCCAGGATGCCATGCGCGGCGCAGTTCTACGACGAGAGAAGCCCCGCCCGACGCCCCTCCCGACGCCCCACACGAGGCCGACGTCCGCACCCGCGCCATCTCCGAACCTGGCGCCGACGCCGGCCAGCCCGACGTCCGCGCCCACGACGTCTCCGACACTGGGCGCCACCGTGGGTCGCGAGGAGGAGAGGGGGGGACCCCGAGCGCCAGCAGGAGGATCCCGAGCGCCAAAGGGAAGACGTGTCGAGCCAGAAGGGGGGGTGGGGTGGGGAGGGAGATGACCAGGAGGGCGAGGCAGGGGAGAGGAGGGAGGAGCGGGACGAGGGGCTGTGCTTCCGCCTGGCTGTGACAGCGACTCCAGCGACGTCGACGCACCAAGTGCACCCGGACGAACCCGTTCGCGGCGGGCCAGGCCCTCCCCAGAGGGGTCGACGCCCTCCCCACCCGCCCCCTCTGCCGGCCGCCCTTCCCCACGACGACGCCGCCCTCCCCGGGCGCCCTTCCCGACGTTTCATCCGACGCCCCGCGCGAAGCCCTCCCCGACGCCCCGAGCGAAATCCTCCCTGGTGCCGAGCCCGACGCCGAGCCCGACGTCCGCACGACCAGCCAGCCGTATGGAAATATACCAGAAAGCGCCGTCGACTCTGACGCCCAACCCCGCGCCCGAACTGTCAGGGATAGCATCAGCAGCGACGACGCTGGCACCGCTTCAATATTCGTCTGCGATCTCCATCCCGACGTCAGCGAAACAAAGATCCACACTTTCTTCAACTTCATATGACCAGTCGCCTCAATCCGACGACGCCATGGCTGCAACGCCCGCGGGTATCCTGGATATGCGCACGTCGACTTTCACGGCGAGCAGGTCGCCGCCCAGGCGCTCGACATCCCGAAGTATTCATACATTGACGGGCACTTGCGCCGCATCACGCGGACCCAACACGACGTCAACATGCGTCAGAGCGTAGCCGGGAGCAGATGCGTCGGCAGCTAGGACCACGACGTCGACAGCAGCGCCTTGCACGACTCCAGCATTGACGCTGACACTCACGCGGTTATCGACGCCAGAATCGACACAAGCACCGAGGACAGCACCGACTCCAGCACAGGAGCCTGCATCGACGTCCGCACCTACGCCAGAATCGACCCCAGCATCGACGCGACCAACGACGCCAGCTTCGGCACCAGCACCGAAGACAGTCGCGACCCCAGTGCTGCAGCCAGCACCGACGTCAGCGTCGACACCAGCACCGACCCTAGCATCGACCCCAGCACTGACGCCAGCATCAACCCCAGCATCGACGCCATCATCGAAGACGCCACTGACTCCAGCAGCAGAGCCAGCACCTACATCATCACTAGTACCAGCATCGACTCCAGCATCGACGCCACCACCCACGCCAGGATCGACTTCCGCATCGACCCTCACGACAGCATCGGAACCAGCCCTCCTACGCGCTCATCGACAGACACCGCGACTGCGACGGGTGTGCTTCGCCGACCATTCGCACGACGCCACGCCCGACGTTCCCCCCGACGCCCTCCCCGACGCCCTCCCCGACGCACCATCCCACGCTTCACCCGTCGGCCCACTCAGCGACCAACAGCTTCGCCACTAGTGCAACGACTGCGGCTGGCAGCGGCGCCACGCCCCACCCCGCACCCCACAGGCCCACGTGGCCCCCGAGCCTGGCACGACTGCTGGCTCCCAACGCTCCACATCGACGGACGAGCAGCAGCGCCAGGGGCGCCGGCCTGCACCGCCATGACGAGCGCCACGACGGCGATGAAGAGCACCACCTGCGAAGAACTCGACCAACACCACCACCAAGACCTCGACCGCGACCAGCAGAATCGCAACCCGCACCGCGATTGTGACCAGCGGCGCCACTACCACCGCGGCTGCGACCAGCATCAGCACCACCACGACGCCCTACTCCTCCGCTTCCCACCCGACCGGCTACCCCGCGACCAGCAGCAGCACCATATGCACTACGACTCCGACCAGCAGCAGCGCCATGACTGCAACCAGCAGCACTGCCACCAATGCGGGGACCAGCATCAGGTACCATATGGACTGCGACCAGCAACGCTGCAGCGTGCGCCGCGTCTGCGGCGCGACCCCTAGCAGCACCACGAGCCCAGCATCACAACCTAGATAGACTGCGACCACCAGCAGCACCACGATGCCACGACTGCGACTACCACCCTCAGGGCGGCACAAGGGCTGCGCGGCATGCCGGCAGCACCCTTCCGCCCACCCCGACGCAACCCTGGCATCGCCTCGACCCACGCCCTCCCGGCACCCACCTCACGACTCACCACCACCACCACCACCACCACCACCACCACCACCACCACCACCACCACCACCACCACACCCTCGCCTCCCGAAGCTCCCGGGAGGAGTAGCGAGGCCCCCCATGGGCCCAGGGCCCCCCGGGGGCACCATACGGTGCCGCTGGCGAAGGGGCCCTTGGTCGAATCAACCCGCCCCACGGGAGGCCGGCCCTTTGGGGGGGACCGCCCCTTCGGGGAGGAGGATGGCCGCGTCCGGTGGAGCCGCAAGCCGAAAATGAGAAAGAGAGAGAGAGGTGGAGGAGTCCGAGGAGGAGGAGGAGGAGGAGGAGGAGGAGGAGGAGGAGAGGGAAAGGAGGAGGAGGAGGAGGAGGAGGAGGAGGAGGGGAGGAGGAGGAGGGGGGAAGGAGGAGGAGGAGGAGGAGGAGGAGGAGGAGGAGGAGGAGGAGGAGGAGGAGGAGGAGGAGGAGGGGAGGGGGAGGAGGAGGAGGACAAGCCGCACCAGCAAGAAACCGGCGGGGAGAGCACCGGCAAGGCGCAGGGAACCCCGTGCGGGGACGGGGGCCGCGGAGGGAGGAGCGCCCGCAGCCACCACCGGAAAGGGGCCCGCGCAAGCGGCACGGGCCCTTCGCAGTGGCAGTGGAGCGCGCCCTCCCGCTCAAGGCCCAGCTCCTCCAAGGGAGCGCGTGCCCTCCTTGCCCCTCCCGCTCATTCGGCGCGCACCCATGGGGGAAGGCCGACGTTGTCCGACATTTGGTATGTAGGTTCCCAGGCTTCTCCAGCCTCGGAGTGATCTCCAGCAGCTGCACCTCGCCAGGTGCGTTCCTGGGGTGCCCGCATCGTTCCGAGCGGCCGCCCGAGGTCCGAGTTATGGCCCGAGACTCGGCGGCGCTCCCAGGGTGGAAGGCAGACGCGGGGCAGGCCTTTTCAGATGGGGAACGAACAATGGCATAAACATTGAACTCGGAGGTCCGCGCGGATTTCTTGGATCCGCGCTGGACCCCCCTTCCTGGCGCGCCAGGGGCGGCGCCGGAGGCGCCGCCAGGGCGGTCCAGCGCCGATCCGAGAAATCCACGCGGACCTCCGAGTTCTTATGCTTATGTCATTGTTCCTTCCCCTGTTTCGGAAGTCTCAGAAGGCCTGAGGCCTTGTGAGGCCTTTTCGAAGCCTGCAGCCTTCTCCGAAACGACAGATGGCTTCGCACAGGGCCGGAGGGGTTCTGAGGAGCCCCGCCGCCTTCTGGCTCGCTGCCGCTGGAAACCCACCAACGACTTGCTCCTCCGTTTTGGGCGGGAGGCCTGGGACGTCGTCAACAGCAGCACGCTGGTGGGTTCCCCACGGCGGCGTGTCATTGACATTGTTTTTGCTCCCCCATCGAAGGCAGCGCGCCCTCCCGCTCCCTCCTGCTCACGGTCCAGCTCCTCCAATCGAGTAAAAAACTCAAGCTTTCGAGGCTCCGCTCGGATTTCTCGGATTGG